TGACGGGGGAGTGACGACACCACCCTGCTCATCACCTTTTCCACCTGCTGCCCTCAACTAGAAAGTACAGGTCCATAGAGTCCAGAAGAACCAGACTGAGCCACAGCCTGTATCCCCCGAGTGTGAGGCTGCTGAACACTGCCCCCTTCCCCTCTCTGCCTTTCTCCCATGGACAATAACCACATCCTCCAATAAAAGAACACTGAACTGGACTTTGTGTTGTTGTAGTATTACATACATATGTGCTGCTCTGAATCTCCTTATTGTGCTCATATTTACACTGGACTTACTGAAGGGTTATGCACTTTACATCAAAACTCTGCACTGTTTGATGCTCTAAATGTAACTTGTTTTTTTCTATGATAATGACAATAAAATCTCTTGAACCTGAAAAAAGATAATATTCTAAATCTATTCTTATCGTCTCGAATAATAAAAGTATATTTATAATATTACCTATTTAACACTCCATGATAGTGGGAATATGATAAGACTGCAACAGTTACTTTGGTAATCCATTCATTTTGTGATTATTCTTTCAATTAATCATTTAGTTGTTCAGAACATGAAGGCCCCATGAACATGAACATGAGATTTTGACATCATTTTACCCTGACAAAGCTGAAGTGAAGCTGCTGTACGTCATTTTGATGGTCTATATTTACAGACTGATTGAAAATGTCTTTCAGATCACAGTTTAATTAATGATGCCAACCTTTGAAACGAGGCAGTTTCATCTAAAATACAAAATTCTCATGTTATTTCCATACAATTCCTGCTCTGTCCTTGTCATAAAACCTCTTTTGTCAGCTCTTGGCATGAGTCTGTTTATAAACCTGTCATCAATTGTCTTGCAGCCCTAGAATACACAGCATTATTCTACTTCGAGGGCCAGTCTCCATCCAAAAGGAGTCAGTTGATTTCAGTACAAACATGTCTGTCTGGAGGAAGACTTTGTCCTAAGTGTGGTTTTAACTTTCTATTGCCATGGAATCATGCAGGTGAGGGGTCATCTCCAGAAAGTGAGATACTGCACTATGAAAGGAAAATAAAGCACGTATGATGGGTAATATGGTTTGTTCATGTTTTGCTTTCCTGCACTCAGCGATTCATACAGTTTATATATATATATACATACAATACATGTGCAAAATGAGTAAAATCTTGTCAAATAGTGAATGTTTCAATTGAAATGTGAGCCTAGCTTATGCAACTGTAAGTCTTGAAAGTATTGACTGCATAGTAAAATGTGTGGCTAAATGAGTCAGTGTCGAAAAGAATAAGGCACAATTAGCAGCAACAATCATTGGTAAGTTTGACGGTGCTGTTCCTTTAAACAGTGTTTTCACTCTCATGAGAGAAACTTTCACATGGAGACAACAACATGTGAGCCTCAGATTTATAAGGGACATGCAAATTTTACTTGTTGTTATCTTGGTGAGTGTATATATAAATGTATATGTGTGTCTTTGTGCGTGTGGGGTGTGTGTGTGTGTGTGTGTGTGTATAGATAGATAAACAGACCTGGAGGAGAGATGGAGGAGATGGAGGAGCTGTCCATGGGCCAGTGGTGCTGACCTTTGCTCTTGTCTGTCTGCACTCTGGTGTGTCTTCACAGCAGAAATCACATCACACAGGTCTCCATTTTGAGTGGCTCCTTAGCAGTGCATTATGGGAGATTCAGTCCAAAGCCCAGCCCAGTGTAGGACTTGACCTATATGGACCATAATTTAAAGGTGCGCTGAGTGACATTTGCTTTGTCTAGAATGTTCCACAGTATAGATTAAACCCATCTATCACAAGGGAGACAAGGAGGTTACAGCATTACAGTTCAGATCTGTGGAGAGGCACCCCTATTCACAAAAGGAATTAGTGTATTTTTGAGCAATAGAAATGTCTTACCATGGAACATTCCAGGCAAAGCAAAAACATCTCCATGGAGAAAAGTATTTGATGGAACCTCCACCAGAAAAGTGACACAATGCTGGCCCTGTAGATTAGATCATGTTTGTCAGTTCATATTTATTTAAAATATGGGAATGAATCACCACCAGAATACTTCCTAAAACTTTGTCCTGTTCACTTTTCTGATGCTGCAGTTTTCTTTTGTTGAAGAAGATTCTTATATATGCAACAGGTTGTGACAAATCCTCTCTGTACACTCTCATTCATAATCAGATTAGATGTAGTGCATTTGTGCCTCAGAATGACTATTTCTCTAGTAGTAAATCCAACTCGAACCCAGTGAGAAAGTCCTATGGATTCTAGGCTCATTTTTACAAACATTACAATTGCAGTTGTGAATATCAGTGCAAACTTTGCAAGGGATGTCACCAACATTTCGCTAATAGAGATGCATGTAAAACCCTCCAGCGTGATGTCACTGCAAAAGTACAACTACCGAGCTGCTCTGGATTCAGCATTAGAATTGGCATCATAGACAAAAGTGTGGTTTACCCCTCATAAGGGTCACTTAATGATCCACAGAGGGTGACTGTGCACTGTGGGACAGCAGAGGTGTAGAGAGTAGCTGAAATTTGCACTCAAGTAACAATAAGGTTACTCAAGAGTAAAAGTAGTCTGTTAGGGGAAAAATACTACTCAGACAAGAATAAGTTAGAGTAACTGCTGGGATGTCACATCTGATTTACAATTTAAAGTTAATTTGAAGGACAGAGCATTAAATCATACACAAAATCTGGTATTTTCAAAAGATACACAAAAATGAGAACAACAAAATCATATCTGAAGGAGCAGAGCGAGAAACTCAAATGTTCTAATAATTTCATATTTTACTCAATTAAAAGTCCTGTTACTTCAGTAATCAGATTTGAAATATGTAGTAACCTTTACTTTAAGAGTAAGTTAATTTGACTTGGTAAAACCATGGAAACCAAATTGCCTTGAGCAAATAAATGTTACTTACGTACACAAGTTAGAGTAAAAGCAGGTTCTATTCTACAATAATGCCATTCAGATCTGCATCAGGGAGCAACTGTTTGCAATGAAACATTGATGGACAAGAAAAAAATCTAGATCCTATACCCAGCTTTCATTCTAAAACTAAACGTTTTGAGACATTAAATAAAAACCTGTGTTAAGTATGTGTGATATGGGCGAAACTTATTTCAAAAACAATATCTAAAGAAGACCAAGAGGTGATTTGAAAACCTTATGAATGAATGAATGCCTTTATTGGTCAATTTCTTCATAGGTACAACACATACAAAGGAATCTAAATTGTAAATTAACTGTATTACTGCTGAAATCCACTTTTGAATATTTATTTAAAACATTAGTTACTGCATATGTACATGTTCTTGCCAAGATAATCATGAAAAAGTTGTAATAAACTAAAATTGCATTGGCAAACTCACCCTTGTATGTTGTGGACGGGTGACAGGGCACCTTTGGGGGAGTGCTTTGAACACATGGCAACTGGACGCTGCAGGACTGCGCTGCGATTGGCTCATTGGGGCGTGTGCCAAAAGTGCAGATATAGTCTGGTACCAGTTGACATGAGTCGTAAGGAACAGATCTATTCAGTTATGGAGGAGGGGCTTTTTCTTGGTTATTTTACTCACAATAAAGCTAGTCATTGTTTGGAGTTTACAATGCCTACCAAATAATGTGTCTTGATAGATAATTATCTAACTATTAAAGGTATTGAGAGTGTTTGTAGATGTTTCATGACAAGTCGTGAAGGCTACAGACTGTAGTCCAGTTAGTCTAGTTTAAGAAAAGGGCAGACATTTTTTATGAGTCAAAAGGGGAAAGCTCTCAAGCTCAGAAAACCATCCCAAAAATGAAGTATGGGTGTGGGAAACAGTTTCAGGGTCAATCTACCAAAATACTGAGGAAGTGTATGTAAATTTAATACTAATAAAACATAAAAAATGCAAAAAATGATATTTACTGACCCTCATTATTAGGCCTGTTCTGAAGAACACTACAAGCCAGTTGGATATGGATTCTGTTGTCTTTAAGATTAGGACAATAACCATTTTAAATGTGTTCCATTAATAATAACAGATAACGTTGGCTGGTAAGAACAAAATCGACAATAGATGGATAGGCCCACTCTATATGATAGGAAACCTTCTCTCCATATCCTCATTAGAAATGCAATTGCAGCAGCCCTGCATCATTTATATGTTTAGTAGTAGATGTATATTGGTTCAGGTTTTGTGTTGAAGTGATTACAATTGGACTTTTTTGACTTTCTTTGTGTCAGCAATTCTGCATTTACATAGATTTGTATGTATTAGTTTTTCACTTCATGTGAGTAAAGCTTTGTAAAAATGAATAATGTGAACCTTAACAGATTTGAACAACCACAAGGTACTACAATTTTAAAGTGAACTCTGCATTCACAGAGTCTTGAGCAGATTGTCAGTAAACACGTTGCATTCACAGACTGCAGTATTAGTATTTGTGTTGCTTGTATAGATTTGTAAAAATTAACAGTAAGAACCTTAACTGATTTCAGTAACCACAACTTGCATTTGAGGACTGCAAAGCCTACACTATCTGTTGTTATTTATGGAACACCCAGTAAATGCAGATTTATATTATTATTATTTATTTTTCTTGATGCATGTACATTTAAATTTCCTATGGTTTACCGCTGCTCTCCTCTACTGCACTTCAAATGTCACTGTGTGATGAACAGCTTTTATTGTCTAACTCTAACGTCGGCCTATAGTACATGCATCCCAAATTTCGGATTTTCGGTCATCACGCAATGCATATGGAGAAGGATCCTCTGAAAAAGTGAGCCTCAAACCACCATGTTTGATATTCTATTGGGATGCGTCTATTGTCAAAGCCAACCTTTTCAAGTCTTTTAAATCATATCACTTTTCTTTCTGGTTCTGATATCCTCATATTTCAGTTTTGGGATTCGGACACTGTAATTGTGTGGTTGTTGAATGTCCTTCGGAAGTTTGCGAAGTCCATAACTGCCAAAGGGAATCAAATCTGTGTGACTGCAAACCTCCGCTGAAACTGTTTCCCTTTCCAACGGAATTGAAAAATAGTGAAAGGTGAAGATGATGGGCAGTATTGATACACAGGAAGGAAGAAAATGGTAACCTTCGGCTGCCTAAGAAATCATCCAGAGTTTGCAGTGAACATTTTGTATGTGGAGCTCCATCAAAGCAAAATCCTGTTTGTTAAGCGAGAGGTGCAGAAGACAAACAGGCTGAGCTTTCTTGTTCGACTTTACAGCAACATTACGTCTTGGTCTCTTTGCAGTGGAAGTTGTTTCTTGGAGAACAGCTGGTGCCTTTCACTTTGGCGTTGACTTTTTAAATTTGTAAGCAAGGTGGAGCGAGGGATCGGGATTTTGCTTTGATGGCGCTGTAGTAATATGAGCTCCCAGGGAATAGTCACTAATTTCTATAAGAATTTGAAAACAGGGGTAAATTAGTATCTGTGATTATGAGGAATGTTCATGTTCAAGTTTTTATGACCCCCACAAATGTTTTTGAAATGAAGACATTGTAGTTTAAGGCACATTAAAGACTCAATAAGAAAGTTTGGCTTTATTGGACCAGATATTATATTACAATATTCCAAGAGTACACTATGCTACCAGAGAGAAGAAATTGATTTTTTAAACTACACACAAAGTAAATTACCAGTTGCTTGAAAAAGGCTAAACAGCAATATAACAGATCACAGTATTACAAAGCACAGTGCCATTACCACAAAGGGCTGCTATTTATTTATATATTAAGTTACGTGTTGGAGTGAATAAACCACAAAGAACAGGTGAAATAATGCACACATATGAAGAATTTGGAATCAACATTATGCCTAGAAGCCCCCTCTGAAGTCTCGCCCTCCTCCATACCCTCCCCTGTAGCTGCCCCCACCTCCGCCGCCACTTCCGCCGCCATACCCTCCTCTGTACCCTCCAGCTCTCCTCTGTACCCACCCCCACCTCCGTCTCCATACCCTCCTCTGTACCCTCCGGCCCCTCCTCTGTACCCACCCCACCTCCGTCTCCATACCCTCCTCTGTACCCTCCGGCCCCTCCTCTGTACCCACCCCCAGATCCGCCTCCATACCCTCCTCTGTACCCTCCGGCCCCTCCTCTGTACCAACCCCCACCTCTGCCTCCATACCCTCCAGCACCACCTCTGTAGCCTCCTCTGTAGCCTCCTCTATAGCCGACTCCAGGTCGACCGCCAAATCCCCCTGCTCCGCCTCCCCCATCGTATCGGGACATTTTGGGTGGTGGTGGACCGTCTCCCATCCTAAAACAAACCACGGCGTTTGTGAAGTTGTGTACAGTTTTCTATCACGTGTATATTTATGGAGAATTGTCATGTAGGAGCGTGGGTAATGTAGGCTTGTGAGCGGGGGATTGTACAGAATCTTACAGTTAACCATAAGCAGGGATTGAATAGGGCCCAGAAAAGATCACTAGATTACTCAAACATGCATGGATGGCATCTAAAACCTCTGATGAAGGAACGTTAATACAGGGGAGAAAGCTTAAAAACTATATATTTTGCATCTCACCCCCCCTTTAAGCTGTTAGCTAAAGAACATAGGGCTATTTCTGAAAATGCAATCATGCAGTTGGCCATTTCAGATGACATCACAACTACAACCATTTAAACCTCTCTTATTTCAAACCATCAGTCTGGAACGTGTTTTAGTTTGAACTGCCCCGATCACTGTGTTAGTGATAGGACTTTGGACTCTTCTGACAGATCTGAATGTCTTGGATCTGTTCCTCTGGCCGTTCCAAAGGCTGTCTGTTTAGGTACCGTATTTTCCGGGCTATTAGACGCGCTCTTAAGCCTCCAACCCCATCAAAAAACGACCGTGCACCCCACAATCCAGAGCGCCCTATACACGAATCCACTCAGGTGTCCCAGCACGACTTCAGTAAACTACAAAGCCGCACCACCCACAGTGCACGCAAACACACACAGAGAAGACAGCGACCGCACATTGACACACACCCGCAGCCACACTCCTCACTCCACGCGGACGAGGAACGGAACGGAGGAATGAACCGAAAAAGCGAGTCCAATGTGCCACTTCTAGACACAACTGAACAACTGAGTCACTGCGAACACGCCGACAATCCGTTGGTCCCAGACAGCACCCTCCCTACACGCCACAACTGAACAAAGCCTAGAGTCACCGTGAACGGCACAAAGTCCCTCTGAGCCATCTAACTGTGGTGTTTCGTTTAAAGTCCGATGCAATTTATTTGTGAAAAAAGTTTGAAAATAGACCATTTAATGACAGTGCGCATTATAATCCAGAGCACCCAATAGCCCGGAAAATACGGTAATTATTCATATCACAGTTTTAACTTCAAACTGAAAGTGGAAAGATGTTTGCCCACTGAAATGTTGCACTACAATAATAATAAAACAAAAACTTATTTCAATGCCAAATACTGTATTTTCCGCACAATAGGGCGCACTTAAAAGCCTTTAATTTCATCAAAAAACAACTGTGCACCTTATAATCCAAAGCGTTTTATATATGAATTTATTGGGGTGTCTTAGTACGACTTTAATAAAGTGCAAATCCGCACCACTTGCAGCATTATGGCCTCCGTAGCCAGGAGCATCAGGAGTAATACATACTGTGATTCCTTTTAATATCAAAATGCCCCTGTGAAGAGACATGCTCACAAGGCACACTTTAAACTCAAGGTTATTATAAAGTGAAAGTGTGAGCTGCGTGGGAGCAGTGGATGAGAGAAGGAGAACACACATTCACCAAGACAGAGAGACAGCACCGAGCGACTTACGCCACGATCTGCCAACGGATTGTGGACGCCTGGGCTAAGGATCAGTATCAACTGTGGTCCGAGCTTTCACCAAGACCTGAATCATCACCGAACTGCCAAGGAACAGTAACTACACTGACTCAGATAATGACGAGAGGGATGCGGGCGTGCTGGATGCCGTAATCCCCCAACTGTTTGAACAATTATGAGTTATTGTGAATACACTAACAATTTAGCGTCTAAGACAGTATTTTTTTTGTACGCGTTACAATTGAACCAAGTTGAGAGTTATTGTGAACGCGTTAAATAAAGTTTGACTGACTTATCTAACTGTTGTGTTTCATTTAATGCGCCTTATAGTCCGGTGCAGTTTATATGTGAAAAAAGTTTGAAAATCGACCATTTAATGACAGTGCGCCTTATAATCCAGAGCCCCTATAGTATGCAAAAAACTGTATGTTTTTATTGGAAAAATCTCTCACTTGTGTTACCTGCTCTGCTCTGGAAATTTTTTTTTTTGGATTAAGGAGTGTAAAATTGCATAAAGATAACCCTAACCCTAAAGAAAAAAAACCTTATTTGCTTCTTTTAAAACATTGTATCCAGCTCCAACCATTCACTGAACCGTTCAAAAGAGCCAAACATCCCTAAATGTGCATGATTCAACAAACCAATTTATTCTTTATTTAGCGGCAGCGTTTATCAAACAATGTATGATGTAAAGAGCATTTATCTTATTTATTATTATTATCTTGACTAGAATAAGTTCAAATCAGTCACAGTCCAATTAATACAGAAAGTCTCAAAATGTTAAATATTCCCCATATATTTGTTCTATTCCCCAGATTCGTGGTGCTGTCTTGTACCTTTGGCTCTTCATCATGTTCATGCCCATAGCTGTCGAGTTGGAGATTTGTCTGATGAGGTTGATGAGCCTTTGGGTGGTGGGGTCCATCTGTCTGATGTACTCTGGGTCTTTGGTCACCTCTACCACCTGAGCCTCCAGAGCTGCTCTCAGGGCCAAGATTCCACCAGCCACATGATGGGGGATGCGCAATTTGATCCTGGGAACACACAAAAGGTTTGTCCAATGTTTGGTTAAACTTCAAATGATTAATTTAGGATTTTAAGGTGTTGCTGTCTTTATCATATTTATCTTTATCATTATCTTTCTGAAAGGTCATGTTGCATTTTCTATCTTAGCCTATGGAGTTCAACAGTCTCTGTCCACTTCTTGGTTCTGGAACCAAATTCCATCCATCCATTTTCGTCCGCTTATCCGGGGCCGGGTCGCGGGGGCAGCAGTCTAAGCAGGGACTCCCAGACTTTCTTCACCCCAGACACGTCCTCCAGCTCCTCCGGGGGGACCCCAAGGTGTTCCCAGGCCAGCCGAGAGACATAGTCCCTCCAGCGTGTCCTGGGTCTTCCCCGGGGCCTCCTCCCAGTGGGACATGCCCGGAACACCTCCCGAGGGAGGCGCCCAGGAGGCATCCGGAACAGATGCCCGAGCCACCTCAACTGGCTGGCTCCTCTCAACATGGAAGAGCAGCGGCTCTACTCCGAGCTCCTCCCGTGTGACTGAGCTCCTCACCCTATCTCTAAGGGAGTGTCCAGCCACCCTGCGAAGGAAACTCATTTCGAGTGCTTGTATCCGCGATCTTGTCCTTTCGGTCACTACCCAGAGCTCATGACCATGGTTCTGGAACCAAATTTCACATTCATAATTCCCTTTAAAAACAAGTCTGAAAGCTTCTTGGGTTCTAATCAGCAATGTGGTAACAACTACAAGTACAAATACTTTTTCTGAAACTTTATAAACTGCTAAGTTAAGTTGTTACATAGATGTTAGCTTCTGCCTGCCTTTTTTTTTTTTTTTTAAACAAAATCTGTGGGGTGACATTCCACGTCCTCCTAGGAGGATGGGAGGGAAGGGAGGGCCAGGCTTCCCAGCCTTGCTCCCTACACAGAAAGCTGCCTCTGTAACTCAGCCCTGGATAAAGCAAAGGAAAATGGATAGATGGAAGTTTATGGAGAAAAAGTATGGGGCATTGCCTTCCAAAAGCTTGGAGAGGTGGATGGGACTGTTGTGATACATTGTCTTTGAAAAGAAACTAAACAGCTGAAGTAAGTGTGAAACATGTGACTGTTCTTTGAGTGCTAAGAGCGTCGCTCACCACTCATCTAGCTCCACAATATCTCCATTAGAAGTAATCTTTTTACATTCAAACAGCAGCAGCTGCAGAGGGCTGACCAGAGTCATGCCTTTAGCTGAAATGGCTCGAGTCCGAATCTGATGGAAAGAAAGAAAAACATTAAAGCCGCAAGCTGCGTCGAACGGCCCTCGCCCTCCGTGCCCGCGAACGCCATGCCCGCGAACGCCGCGCCCGCGAACACCGTGCCTGCAAATGGTGCACCCCGCCAATACCATACCCTAAACGCCATGCCCGCAAACTCCATGCCTACAAATGGAGAAATTACATAGTACGCCTTTAAATGTTCTTTGCGCCCCCTGCTGGCCAAACTTGAAAAATGCCCCTGTCAGTAATATATCTTTTTGCTTGTAGTCATTAACAGAATTGAATTCCCAAATTTGGTACAAATCTTATAATGTTGACGTTTCATGTGTATGGTAGGGGGCGCTATAGTGTTCATTTTTCATATGTTTTATAGTGTATTATATTCAGACTGAGATCACGCATTAGTGATTCAAATTTCAGCACAATCGGACTAAGTCTGACCCATAAACTCAGCGAAGATAAAACTACAGCTCTTGTGCGCTGATGCAGTCAACTTCTGTCAGATTAAAAGACATGACTCAGGTGAATACAGGTTAGTGTGACCAAATTTGCGTTTGTCAAAACCAGGACACCGTACGGGGGGAGGGAGGTGGAGACTCGTCATCGACATTGTGCGACTCTCACCTGGTAAAACTTTTTCCCACTGGACACCAAAACATATGTGCTGCTTCATACACTATGCACATGGCCTCCCACTTGTCCCGAGCACAACGGAAAGCGTGGATTTTCTTGTACAAGTCATCGTTAAATACGCATTTGTGCTTTGGTACGTTGCAGACTGCCCACTGTTTGTGTTTGCTTGCTCCTTCTGATGCAGAGAGCTACATGTACATGTGACCTGTTTGGTCACACTACGCATAGCAACCTACATTCGGTTTGTCGATTAAAATGAATGTAATCGATTAAATTCTTAATAATCAATTATTGATTAATCGACTAATCATGCCCATCCCTACTGTTGATAGTAGGAGACGTTTTGTTGAGTTCCTGACAGACATGTTCTTCAGTCGCTCTGAAAACTGCAGAGCTGAATCACACCAAGCCCACACTGACCAACGGCCTTCAAGTTTGTTCTAGTTCAAGTTGAGCAGCACATGAGAAGTACAACACTGGAGGCTAGACTAAGGTTAGTTTGAGCAGAAATGAAAATTTGAGAAATTTGGTTAAGTCCAAATAGAGATATCCTTCATGTCTACAGAGAAGTCTAACCTGAGCACTTCAGCGGCCAGTTTCTCTGGAGCAAAACATGAGAAGCTGGAGCAATAAGCCATTTGCTCACATTGGTCTTAAACAAAGCTCAAAATGGTCTAGGAGAAAGACATAAGATTTTATTGAGGATAAGATTTATTTATCTTGTTTTGTTTTTTGTCTTTTTTTTCCCCCTTACATTTACACAAATCAATAAAGAAGCACGTCCGTTCTTTAGCCAGACGGTGGCGCTGTGTGTTTTTGCTGTCACTTATGGTCTGCTCTAAAGCCGGAAGCGGAAATCCTCTCGTCCTCTTCTACCAGGCCGATCCAACATGGTGGGTATTATTTTAAATCAAACCGAGCAATCTGCGCCAATCCTCTCGTATAGTACACTCTTTACGCTCCATTTCATCTACAATGGAAACCGGATCATTTACCCTTTCCATACAACCTGGTATCGCTTTAAAATGTACCCGATGATGCGTTTTATTTGTATTTTGAGCCGTGGGATGCCGCTATAGCCACGGGAGCTGAGTGTCGCTGCGAATTTGGTGAATGGACTGTACTTTTCCTTGATGCATTATTGACGTATTTAAACTTACTATTGCGATTCATGCTGGGACAGCTGTAAGTGAAATCTAACCCGATAAATCTAATATTGTCCTTTGAGTTGGTCGCATTGGCTGGTGCTTTAGTGGCTTCTGTTGCTGCTCATACAGGAGCCTTGTTCTCATGTATGTAGTGAACCACAGCTTAAAATCGTTGCATATCACAGTTATTGATGTATTGATAGAGATGTATTGTGTTGCCCACGTTGATTTTTCGTGAATTATATTTTTCAGGGCAGTTTTCCCTTATTGAAAATTTGTACTGTAACATTACATCAGATTTACTGTAGGGGAGGCAGTGGTTCTGCTCTGACAGACCTGGGCATTGTACAGCTCTGGGGCCTTTGGCCCATTTACGCTCATTTGGAATTACAAAATAAAGATTTTATCATTTGACCTCATGCATGGACTAAAGCGGCTTTGCTTTTATTTTAGAGTTTTTTTTAATGACATTTTTGTGAGGCAACCTCACTTTTACATTACTGAGAACGGAATTGAGTTAAGCATTTTAGCCAGGCCCTCCACAATATTTTCAGTTTCTCACTTGGCCCCATGGAAAAAATAATTGCCCACTCCTGCTGTGTAGAATCCCCAGATAATAAATAATCAAGATAAAGGAAATGAAGCTGGAACTAAAATTGTACATTTAAAAATGGCAAAAAGGTGAATATTAAATCTGACTACTACAGTGACTGCATGTGAAATTATGATACATGTTCTAATGTAGACTTCTTTTCAAATTCACTGGTTTAGTTTGATGGTTTAGTGCAACATCCTTGATGATTTTTTTTTTCATTATTATTATTTTTTTTTTATTGACTGTATCTTGTATTTAAAATTATGTTGTATTTTTTTTTGTCTTTCTCAGGGGCGAGTCAGGACCAAAACAGTGAAGAAGGCCGCGAGGGTCATCATTGAGAAGTACTACACGCGGCTTGGTAATGACTTCCACACCAACAAACGCGTGTGTGAGGAGATCGCCATCATCCCCAGCAAGAAGCTCCGCAACAAGATCGCTGGGTAAAGGCTGAATTATAGCTTTGTGTCGACTCAACGCACACCTCCGCCATCGTTTTTGATTTATGGATCAGCGTCGAGGTCTATGCGCAGCAAAATAATTCAGCGCCACAATGCTAGGATTTAAAACTGGCGTTCGTGTAAACAAAATGAAGCAGGAAAGTAGAGTACCAGAAAAGTATGTAGAGCCGTTGTAGAGAGGAACAATCACAGCCCTTATTGTCTGCATCGCTTTCCCTTGCTGTCTGTCGGTTTGACGCATAGTTACAAAATTTCAGAGGTGCACGGTCACTATGTGGAGGGGCTTCAAGGCGACAGACGATTTAACACACAGCCATAAATTGGGCTTAAGGGGTTGATTTAGGTCTGGTTGTGGATCAGTTGTTGAAATATTTCTTCCAAATACTTTAGTACAGTATATTCTCCAGCTCTGACCACTCAAATCCAACACTAGAACTGTCAAAACCAGACAGTCATAGTGATTGTAGCCTGTATCGAAAGTGACTGTGGATCTTTGTGGCCAGGTCATTGATAATGCAGGCAGAACAAACCGAGAGCCTTTCCCTGTGTTTGAGGGATGTTCAGTTCCTGTTGAACCCTGGTGCTCTCAAACATCCCAAAGAAATCGTTATTCATTTCGTTTCCTGTTAAAGGGTGGTGCCTGAATATTTGTAACTGTCAAAATGTTTTCCATTTAAAGAGCACTACAAGTGTTATTGCTTTCCCAGTGTGGCATTAAATATTTATCTTCTGTTTATTCAATTACAGTTGTTTAGTTGTTCAGTATCTTGCATTTTTACCATGAGCAGGCTCTGTTCGCCTCCACAGATCTAACGTGTAACTTGCTACCCGATGGCGTCACCTTCTTGTCTTCATAAAGGTAGATAAAGTTTAATGCCATACTGTGGAACATTCCAGTCATCTCTCTGCAAGGCACTAATATTATTTTTACTCTTACTCTCAACAAGTTTTTTAACTTATAAAATAAATGTAATAAGTGAACGAATAAATGTGGTAACCATGTTTTTGTGTCAGGTATGTGACACATCTGATGAAGAGGATCCAGAGGGGTCCGGTCAGAGGCATCTCCATCAAACTGCAGGAGGAGGAGCGCGAGAGGAGGGACAACTACGTCCCAGAGGTCAGTGCAGCGGACAGGGCCTTTACAGCTGTGCTGGTCCTCCTTTTTGCATTTACACGGCTTTTTTGTTGAAGAAAACTAAAATGTGTTCATGATGCAAGAGTATAGAGAAATATCCCATTGAATTAGTGGTTTTGGTGGTCGGCCTCAATGTTTAGTGTTTATTTCCCCTGGATGTCAGATAATGGTTTTGTAAACCAATACAAAGACCAAAGCAAAAGTATTGTTCTTTACAGCTGATTTTAGGACTCTACTTCAAATAGTGATAATGGCAATATATTGTTAGACATCGTTCAATGTGTAAATAGCAGATGCTGTGCTGTGATACTTTTATAACTGCTTGTATTATAAATAGAATGTATTGGATGGCTGATGATTGGATTTCATTGCAGTTTAATGTAGTGTTGTTACCTGTTGTATTGTGTGCTTGTTGGTTTGCTGTGCCCTGTATCGAAAGTGTCTGTGGAGTTTGTCTCCAGGTCATTGATAATGCAGGGACATGAGTCTGAGAGCCTTTCCCTGTGTGTGAGGGATCAGTGCTCTCACACCCTGTGGCACTCACACATTTACTGTCAAACACTAGAGGTGCTTTTGTTGTTGCAAAACTTGAATCAGCCGATGAACTATGACTGTTCACTCTGGCTGTAATTTTTGTCGTCTGATCGACCGGTGGTGTCATACTTGATCAAAATTTATTCTAATTAATTATTTAGATAAGGATTTATATGGGACAACAGCAGGAAGTGTTTGAATTATCTGAAGATTTGGGATATTTTGGTATTTGTATGTTTTTTAAAAAAGCACATTAAACTTGTGATTCAAATCCTATTTCCTCCTTTCGAACTGCCCACTCTTAAGTCTATGTGGTAGATTGTTGTGCTGAAATAGAAGTGTGAAGTGGGCTGCACAGTTTTAAAGACTGGAATTGCCTTTGTAAGTACTGAAAGCAGATTTATGTCAGGATTTTTATAGTGGATATTCTGACATGCAGTCTTTGCGATTGTGATAAAACCACCCACTCATATTGTGCTTTTGACTGTGTGCATACCGAGTGACGTTTTCAAATTTTCCCTTCACTGAAATTAAGATCCAACTTATTAATCATTAAAAGGCCAGTATCAGCGGTCTGTATAAATGACTTCTGATTTGACCTAAAAGTATAAGTACCTAAGTATACTGTGTAAAACTGTAGTAAAGTGCTGGGTTGGTGGATGATGGAGCTTGTAATTGAACATGTCCTCTTTAATATAGATCTGTCTAAACTTGCTGATTGCAACAGGAGGCAGTGACAAGAATGAACAGAACCTGTGCTGTTTAGATTAAACCTGTGTGTGTCTGTTCAGGTTTCTGCTCTGGACCAGGAGCTGATTGAAGTTGACCCCGACACAAAGGAGATGCTGAAGCTGCTGGTGAGTCAAAGTCTAACAAATAAAGCACAATGTTAAAGCGGTATTACCAGTCACTGTGTTTCTAACACTCTTTGGGAGAATTAGTCTTGACATTTTAGAAAACATTTCAACCATTTCTTCACTGGGAGCTTTTGAATGTGTTATGGCCAGCAGAGGGAGGCACAGTGCTGAACTTGAGTCTTTTTCCTTTGTGTAAATATGATTATGAAATATAAATAAGAGCTGTAAGGATTTCGAGGGCTTGTCTGGTTTTCTGTACGAGATCAGTGGAGACAAAGTTCCACTTCTCAATCCTAGAGGTCCAATCAGACCGTAAGTGATACAACTCATTATCTGGTTCACTTATTATATTAATTATGGAGTTGATCAACTAAATTGGCATCTTTTAAATGAAATATTAGAAATATATATGAAATATTTGGCAAAAACCGTTTGGAACATAACACAAATGCTGTTGTAAATAAGGCTGACAGTGCCCACTGTGCCCTGTATCGAAAGTGTCTGTGGAGTTTGTCTCCAGGTCATTGATAATGCAGGGATATGAGTCTGAGAGCCTTTCCCTGTGTGTGAGGGATCTGTGCCCTCACACCCTGTGGCACTCGCACATTTACACTAATCACCGGTGTTTAATGGACCAGGACGCCGACTGCACGAGGATTCGAGTAAAGACCTGTACCTGTTTTTTTTTTGTTTTTTTTAAGTCACTAAACTGTGAAACTAAATGGCTCATTTTGAACAGTTTGCAGCAACCCAGAGCCATTTTTTCCTTAAATATCCTAAATATGCACTACAATGATTTTTCCATCTTTGTTTCGCCTCCTGCGTGTTGCTTTGAGCTTTGTGTAGGATGTAAATGCTTTAGAATTGGATGCAGAAACCACAGTGAGAGCTTTAATATATCTGCACTGGGGCAAAACATATTTTACTTACATGAAAATAATGAGCACTGCCCTTTTTTTAAAACTTTAATTTAAATTGATAGTGTTTTAGCTTGCACATGGACATTTGATTTGCATGAAGAGTGAAATGATTTAAATTTAATGCCATATAATCGAATCATGAAGTGACAGTAGCTCAGTTGGTTCTCAAATCCAACTTTCTACATAAACAACATCAGAGTGGCCAGATCCACTGACCCACAGGTTGGCTCCCACAATGAATACAGTCATTGTGGCTTGGGCAAGACACTTAACCCCCAGTGTATATAAATGAGCTCTCCATCCCAAACGTCAGACTCAAGTTTTCCTGTTTGTTTTGCAGGACTTTGGCAGCCTGTCGAATCTGCAGGTGACCCAGCCCACTGTCGGGATGAACTTCAAACAGCCACGAGGAGTCTAGACACCATCTTTGTTCTTAATAAAATCCTTTAAAAACCACTGCTGCTCTTCACTTTCCCTTTTTTCATGTTATCTATTTGTTTTGTAGCGTTAGACTCTCTGGGAGCTGTGGCAAACAATAAAACTGGGGAGAAAATGTGATTGGCTCTGATCGTTTCTGCCTTGTACATAACATTTGTATTTCTAAGTTATTAAAATGTGAGGATTTAATGAACCTAACTGGACCATTTGATGTTATGATTGTGACTTAATTTTCAGATTTTGAGTATTTTGGTTGACTGCATCACTTGTAATCTGCATGTGATTCTAAACTTGGGTCATGAGCTAAGTACATGGCGATATTAAATAAGCCAAACCAAATAACTTGTACCTGTGTTTGGATGGAGAAATGAGGCTTTTGGTCACAAGTTCTTGGATATGACACTATAAACTTTTTTTTTTTTACATGTGGCTACATGCACACACTTTATGATTATCAGAAATTTTCAATTATAGAACTATTAAAATGACTTAAGTGAAGTTGTTGAATTTCTGATCATACATTTAATCAGATTTTCATGTTTACATGACATCACAAGGTGAAATAGAATATTTGAGAGAAGAACTCTGCAGGGTTTATGTGTTAAACATGTGAATGAAAGAAGATCAGAAAGTAGTGATTTTGGGCCCTTTCAATCAATCAAATCAAATAATGCAGTGGCCTCCCTTTTCATTCAGAAGTATTCTGGGCATGACTGTGTGTCACTCAAACAGCATGTGGCATATTTTCCCCTGAAAGAAAAGAGGAGGGTGAGTTTTGTGTTGCTCTGTGGAGGGGCCATCACAAGCTTACACTCACAAATGAAATGCATTCATGACAAAAACTTTATTTCACACTTATATAATACAAGACTTTATTACACAGTTGTATGTACAGATCATGGTACAGGTTTGAAAATAGACTCTGGGGGGCGCTAGATCATAGACACTTGAGGAGGAAGAAGTTGCAGAAGGCGCCCTGCGGACAGTCACACATGCGGCCGATCCGTGCGCCTTTACGCACGGCGCAGTGCTCCCCCAAATCACACTGTAAACACAATATAGAGATGAGTATACTTGCTATTATTAATGTTTTAATCATCAGTTACACTGGAATAACCGTACGATAAAGGGACACACTAAATCAAGGTTAAATCAAACTTGATGTTGTAATTTTGCGTAAATGTTGTAAATAATTTCATATCATCATGTCATATCATCTGATATTCATGAGTAACATAATAATACTCCCTGTGATGTCACCAGTACTGTGTGAGAGCACGGCAGACATCAGTTACATTTACTCGAGTAACTCTGAAGAAATGTTAATACAATGGGCCTCTCAAATGTTTTAAAAATGCTAAATTAGAATAGACCAGGTGTCTCCAACCTTTTTCATCTAGTCAGCTACCAAAAGCTACTGAGCTAACGAAAATATAATAAATAAAATATATAAATATAATGATATAAATATAAGGAACAGAGATGATGGATAACGGCATCTGACCCTTAGCTGGAGGTAGATGATGTTATTCATTTATCAGTGCACATAGTCCGGCAAATGAAACATTTACACTGATGATTCATCACATTTGAGTTATTCAGCACAATATATATATTTCAGAAATCCCCTGGTGAGCTTGCCTAAGAACACAACCAGAAGAAAATGAAACAGGCCTACACTTTTGTCAAGAGGAGAACAATAGAAAAGTAAGGAGGTGTTTTTCAGCTTCTAAAATGTGATAGGGGCAAGAGACAGATTTATTTATGAAACCTCCAAAAGGTAAACACACAAATGTTGAACCTGATCATTTCTGTTAGAGTCAGAGCTCAGTGTTACACAACTCTGCATTTAATCATGTTCATTTTAAATGCCCCCATCTGTATTGAAAATGACTGACCTATAGATGATGTCATCTGAAATCAATAAAAGTGATGAAAAACTTGATATGTGTCAGACTGACTGTCACCCATAAACTGTATATGGTGTCACTGTCACCCATGGGTGTCACTCACAGAGGGGACCTGTCCGTACTTCTTCTCCCAGGGGCTGATCCTCTTTGTCTGCAGCTTCTCCAGCACCTCCTGCAGGTCCCCCAACTGAAACACAACAACGCACAACAACACACAACACACAGCACACAACAGCACACACAGGCACCAGAGGCATGTCAGAATGAACACCCTGCTGTGTTAAAATTCGTCACTCTGTGTTTATAAGTGACCCACTGATTCTCTGACACTGAACACTGAGTCTGAAATAAAAGGATCATTTATTTGAACTTTTCACTCAAATCACACATGAAAAACTATTTTGGATGGTTTACGTTAAAGTACAGTACAGTACAGTGGGTTCATCACATCTGAAAATATGACACGAAATAAGTGACCACAGGTCATTTGTTTGTTTGAAATACTGCCGTTAGTTTCTTCAGTTCAGAGCACTTTGACTGTCCGCCTGCCGTAAAGTAAAGGTTCTGTTGTTTGGTTTTCCGTGTCCAAAACAAAATCCTTCCACATTTCAAATGGGCTTCTAGAGAATCTCAAAGCAGTTCCAGGATAAACCAGAACATAAGTATGCGCAGTGCAGTTGTCTTCACTCACCAGTCTGTTGTTGTAGCGCAGGTCCAGTGCGTTCCTCTCGTCCCTCTCCGTATCTGTGCGTCCCGCGCGCCACAGCGCGCACAGCAGCCCCGCACACAGAACCACGCGCGCCCACATCGGACAGGTGTCACTAGACAGGTGCAAACAGCACAGGCGTCACTGGACAGGTGCAAACAGCGCAGGTGTCACTGGACAGGTACAGGGACAGAGAGCGCGCGCCGCTGCAGCTCAGCCTCGTACAGGAGAAGTTTGACCCACGCGTTCTGCTCCGCGCGGGGCTTTGAAGGACCCCGCCCCTCAGCCCCGCGAGCCCCACGTCACAGCTCTGACGTCAAGGGCTGAGTTTGATCCGCGGGTGTTTGTTTGGGACAGATGTTACAGGAGATAAATGACCAACGTGACCACAGCACAGTGCTGATGTTACAGAAGATACGTGACCACAGCAGCACATGCAGGGCTGCAGGTCTTACTGAACATGAACATAAAACCTCTGTGAGTGGAGCAGCATCAGTGTCTTGCCCAAGGGCACAACATCAGTGTGCAGTGCTGGGGCCAGAAACCAGTGAAGACTCATTTGTCTCATAACATAGAGCTGTGGTGTTCCACTGAGACGATCTGAGGAGCTCCTCTGAAAACACACACACTTTTCTCTGTCTAAACCTGGACAGAGAGAGAGAACAGAGGAGAGAGAGAGAGAGAGAGAGAGAGAGAGAGAGAGAGAGAGAGAGAGAGAGAGAGAGAGAGAGAGAGAGAGAGAGAGAGAGAGAGAGAGAGAGAGAGAGAGAGAGAGAGAGAGGAGAGAGAGAGAGAGAGAGAGAGAGAGGGATAGAGAGAGAGAGAGAGAGAGAGAGAGAGAACAGAGGAGGAGAGAGAGAGAGAGAGAGAGAGAGAGAGAGAGAGAGAGAGAGGAGAGAGGGAGAGAGGGATAGAGAGGAGAGTAGGGAGAGAAAGAGAGAGAGAGAGAGAGGAGAGGAGGGAGAGAGCGGTCATTAGGAGAGGATTGCTGTGAGTTTGTGGATAATTCAAAGATAAAGACGGCTTCATTTGGATTTGAGCCACTTGAAAAGCTCACTCTCCATAAACTCCATGCGCTGAAGTTAAATCTGCTGAGCTGTGTCACGGCTGTCAGGACGCGTGAAGCCCACACCGCAGCTCTGCCAAAACACCGAATATTACACTTTCAAAATGACACGTTAAATCTCTTAATAAATAAGAGCTACTGATGCATAAAGATACAACAAGTCTCTTAAGTTACAGCAAGAAGTCTCTGGTGGGATTCTTGGGCAGGGCCTGTGGGTGAGGCGTTTGCATGTTCTCCCTGTGGCCTAAGATCTGGAGACGAGTCTCTACGGCTCCTTGGGTCAAATGTAGAGATTTTGCATTTTGCAAGCAGCCTTGTTTGTTTTGACACAAAAGGAGCATGGAGATAGGATCTGGCTCCAGATCCACTTGTCTTTGTAAAGGTTTGTCAAAGCGTGTGCTTCTGTCTGGACAGGTGATCTTATACTCTCTGCTCTTGAGTTTGCTCTAGAGCAGGACACAGACTGTGAGCAGCACTGAAACATTCACAAGGATTTAGTTAAAGTTAAAGCTTCACTATGTCACTTCTCTGTTGGGGAGTCTCCATGGACATTTTATTGTTTTATCTAGAATGCTGCACAGTATAGCATTAAATCAGTCACCATGGAGACAGGTCAGTGGCTCTCCCTGGCCAGGTGAAAGGTCAGATCCATGAAGAGGTGACCCTGCAGGTTTTCAGTCATTTTTGAATAAATAAATGTAAATAAATGTAAGACAGATTCTGTGGACTCAGCACAATAACCTGGCAATGACCCCCCAAACTAAAAATGCACAGTGCACCTTTAACATGTAGGAGGTAGAATGTCTGGCCCATAACCAGAAGTTTGACAGTTCTAATCCTGCTCTCCCTTGTGTATATGGCAGTGAATCAGCCTCACATGTGTCTGTATAATGGGGGTTGTCCAGTAGACCCTCGGCACTGACGGGCACCCATGTGTGTTTGAGTGAGTGTGCCCCAGGGCAGCTCTGGCTCCTGTGCTCTGACAGATTTATGTGACAAATGTGTGTTTAAGTTGCAGTTTTTAGCCTGAGGCTCAGCTCTGTCTGAGAGAAAGATGTTTGGACGAGGAGTTAAGCCCCACACGTCACATCTGTGAATCACAAATCCTGGAGTTTAAAGCTGCAGGATTTAAGAAACATAAACTCAACTGAAGAGTCTGCTCTGAGAGGAAGGGACGCTTAATGGAGCAAAAGTTATCTATAGCAACGGACCCAATTATGTAACGAAAAATCACCACCAATATGCAACATCTGCACTTTTAGTTTTAGGGTGAAGGGTAAAAAACTGACCTCAATCAAGCCTGAGCACAGACTCATAATGAACAAACTGTTATTAAGAAGTACTCAGGCTTAGTTACCACCAAAGACTGTATAAAGAACTTGAAAGGACTGAGGGAGTGTGACGTCCATGGCGTTCAGCTGCAGTCAAATGAAGCTCATTGAGGACTGCAGTTATGGGACCAACTTTGGAGTCAAGTTCCATATTTGGAGTAGGAACTGATTTACGGTCAAAATAGCAAAATAAAACATTAGGATCATGTAGACCCAGTTAATACAGACATTTTAAGAACAAAATAAGGAGTCTGACAGCAGCATTTTTCAATACAAAGTGACCCGGAGCCAGAGCTGATGGAGCCTGTTTGGAACGTGCCAGATAACAGGTTATCTATGTAAATTTATATAAAGAGTCTATGATCACTACATACCCTAACGCCTAACCCCTTCACTAAGCCTCAAGTCTGAATCAATAAAAGATGAGTTCATTATGATTTAAGTCCTTGTTCATGCTTCATTAAGACTAATTAAAGTGGCATTATTATAAAGTGTCACCAGTTTTAGTTTCCTTGTGTCAGTGGATACCCATGAGTCACGCAGAGTTTGGAGAGTTTGAAGTTTACTGGTGACTTATTACAGTAATTAAAGTGCTTTGCCAATTTAAACTCACTTTGCGTCGTTTCCAAGTACTTCCTGTTTCAGATCAGCAGATTTAAGTTGGGACTCATTAGAAAAGGCCCAATTAAAAGATGTCCAAAGATACCCAAGCTTCCAAACAGGGCGTGATTAGAAGAGAGTTCCATTGTGGAGGATTAGGCAAAGAAATGAGATAAAAACTGACCTCTCATAACCTTTCGGCTCATAGTTCAGGAGTCTAACCCACAACCTCCTGACTGAGAGAAGGGCTAACCACTCTGCCACAGTATCACAGGGAGAGCATTTTTTCAGTTATGTAATTGTCATTTCTGAAACAAGTTCTGAGTGAGAGCAAAAAGTGAATACAGTGTTGTGACAGTGCCTCGGGTGTAGACGGTCGGCATGGAAACGGGAGGTTGTCAGTTTGATCCCAGACAGTCCATATTGTGGTTTGTGTCATTGGGCAAGACATTTAGCCCAAGGCAGCTGTCGGCACAACAAAAAGTGTGTATGAGGAGTGACTGGCCACAGAAGCATTTTTATTATTTGACTTCTTTTAAATCCAAAATCAAACATCTCTCTGAGCAGACGCAGTGTACATTTACGTAACCACATCAATACAAAACATGCTTTATTTCTTTTTTTAAAATCTCTCTTTTATATTTTATTTCTGTTCTTTTTCCAGGCTTCACACTATTTTTGATTCTCATAAGAGTGTTGTGAATACAGCATGCAGCTTTAATATTCTGCTTACAATAAGGACAAAAAGACATGAAAATACATGAATGTGTCACTCGAGCACAGAGAGCGCCGAATCCGAATTGGATCGAACTATAAATAAAAGTAAAACTGTTTATTTTGCTCAGGGATGAGATAAAAAAGTACAAGTGAATCAATCACAAACAGACCTGGAGTTGTGTTTTGTTTCATTCACACGTGTTAAACACACAAAGCCTGCACATTTAGGCTGAATTCTTCTCTCAAATGGAAGAACTTAAAGATAAAAGGTAGCTGCTATCCTGAAATCCACCACTACATGACATCACAAAGTGGAACAGAGCATTTTGAGGTGTGGAGATGTAGACATCACTAGTCCCTGTTTGGATGGATGTAAGCCGCTCTTTAGCATGCATGTAGCTAAACCATCTAAGCTCAATTTTATGCCCTGAAATGAACATTTTTGGATGAACAAAGAACAAAGAACTGGAACAGTCGTCAACCTAATGCATCAAAGTGGACGACTCATGGATCCTCAGACTGTTACTTTGAACTGTACAAAACATGGCTCAACACGCACTGTTCTGATGAGAAGAACGGCAGAGAAACACAGAAGGGTGAAAATGACAGAATGCAAGAATATTCCTGACCTCAACCTCAGTGAAAGACTTAAAACTATTATGAACAATGTTGTGAAGAAATTCCACTCGTATGCCATGATGGAAGCCACGAGCACTGAATTGTCATTACCTTCTTCTGCATCAGCAATTTCCACCCCAGAGCTGAAAAAAAAAAGTCAAATTAAACTCGTCCTTGAGGATATCCAAGTGAACATTCTGAACAAAATCAGTGAAAGCAGTGATGCCCTTCTCTCAAGAACTGACAGAAATGACAAGTCAATTTGTGACATTAATGCAAAGATGGAGCACATCCTCAGTGATGTGGAGGATTTGAAAGAGGTGTGGATTGTTCAGCAGGTGACCTCTGCCCAGGAGAAGTACATCCGAGAGCTGGAGGAGAAGGTCGACGATGAGGAGCACTACACCTGTATGGTGTCCCAGAGGAGGAGAGTGAGGACCTGAAGGGGAAAGTGGTGCACATTTGCAGCTCTGTGGCCCCGGAGACAGCAGACTCCCTGCAGATCTTCATTGACATCTGCCACACAGCTGGAAGAAAAAAGGATGAAAGGAACCGACCCAGACCCACTTCCGATTCATCTCCAGAAGAACTAAGGAGAAGATCTGAAAAGAGGTCAAGAACTCTGACTTTCTAAAGGCCAAAAGACTCAGTTTCGCAGAGGATCTGACATCGAAAGACATAGAGACACGAAATGACCTGTGGCTCCAGATCGACAGCATGAAAAGAAGGGAAGAAGGCCTACCTCACTAATACCAGCGCCTACATAGACA